ATTTACTGAAGAGGAGCCATGACATGAAGTGTAGGGAACCATTTCAGTGAGGTCTTTCTGTAGGATAGAAGATTAAGCTGTTAGGAGCCAAGAGAAAAATTCCCCTTTTCCCTCTGAAGTTTCACTAAACATTCAACTGAAAAAAGTCAGATAAAGAGAAAAGGCAAAAAAATGTACTAACATGTCCTTGGCTAACCACAGAGTGATTATTTCCACCCCCCATGGGGCACAGAAATTTGTATACTATCCATGGTAACAGAAAAAAAATAGTAGCAGGGGCACTTAAACCTTGGCAAAACTGGTTAGAGTGGCAACACAAGTTATGGGATGGAGGGAACAACAAGCCTGCCTAGCAAAGGAGGTCTTGTTATGCAGAAGAAATCTCACAGGAAGCAGTCCTCAGACAGAACAGCTGGGAAACGTTTTGCCTAATTTGGGATATAATTGTCGAGTCTGTTCTCCTTTGTACTGGTGAATAATGTTAAAAATGAAATCTGCTGCCAATCTACAAAACTCCTGTCTACAAATGTAGCTAAGAAAGAAAATAATTTTCTTATTCAAAAGGCATTAAACCATGCTGCAACGTGCAGCACAGATAATGTCTAATCAGATTAAAAGACAGAAATGAATCTGACTTTGTTAAAAAGCCAAGGTATACAGCCCTTACACACATCTTCTTATGATAAATGATAACTGGGTCTCACATAAGAAGACCTAACAACGCTGCTTTTTGATAACATTCTCTCAGGGCTTCAACCTAAATTCACCTGGTAATTGGGGTAGCCATCTGTGCTAGTCAATCACGTTTATCCCAAGGAAAAATAACATTTCTCTGTGACAGGCAGGCAGTTGTAGCTTGGAGCAGGGATAGAAATTTTCCTTCCTAATGTTTAAATTTCCAAAGAGTTGGCTCTCTTACTCTTAATACAAAACTCACAAGTTACAATTCTGGGAAGAGGCTTAGTTGGCTTTTAAAAATATTATCATGAATGTCAAAAGGACTGAGGAAGTATTTACAAATACAATTTTTTCTCAAGGAAATAATCTAAGAAAATGGCAGAGAAGAACAGGTCTCTATTCTTGTCGGCAATAGGAAGAAACTCATTTTAACCATTGTCCCTTACAGATGTCTTGACACTTGAACATCAAGCAGATATGATTTCCAAACAGAAGACTTTAAGAAACATAATTGCAGTTACGTGCTCTCCTTTATGAAGTGGATATTGACCTGATATTTTAATGATCAAATATAAGTGCTTATTTTTACTTACACCAGAGTTTGCTAAAAAATTTATAACATTTTTAAACCTCTAATACTTAGATTACTGCTCGGTAGAAATAGAACCCAGAGATAAGTGTCATATTAGTCAGCCTTCGCTCTCACCTGTCTGTAGCTGTTAACTATGAAAGCCCCCCCAGAATTCTGCTATTGCTAAGGTCAAAGATAAACAGAGTTGGACTCTGATTAAAATGGTGAGAATGGATCTTATTAGTCATGCCGTGTTGTAATAGGGAAGAGGTCCAGTGTGGACTGAAATGAACTTTGATTCACACAAAGCGACTCAGCATTTTAAAGGGAGAATGGGTGAGAGGGAAAGGCTCAGCAGGGACTGACTGGAATCAACAAAGTGGAAAATCACAAAAAGCAGGAAGGGGCTGGTTGGCCAGTGTGATTAGTCCCTCTGGGTTTGCTAGCTGGAGCTAATGGAGGTTGAGCCCCTGCCCTGACATGAGGATACAAAGAACGGTGGCCAGTTTTGGGATCTTGAAACTATTCGACCATCTTTCAGTTAGAACTGTTTTGTCAGAGTTCAGGGAAATGGGAGGAGGTTCTCTATCTTCAGGCATCCATGCTGCTAAATAACCAACAGGCTAAAGGGAATAAGCTAATAGTGCAGCTTGGAAAAAGTTTGTCCTGACTTCCATGGAGAGAAAGAAAAGGAGCTAGAGCGTCAGCAATTGTTAAATGTGCTTAACCCCGTAGAAGATGGTCACACATCACTCAGTCAAGAGGAGGAGGAACCACCACGAAGAGGCTGCAAATAGTCTCTCCCTCCTAAACTAGGCAAGGCATTAATTTCAGCTGGAGAGCTACCAAGCTGGGGCAGGGCAATTTACCCTCTGACAATATCCCTCGGGAATTAATCAGCAAGGGCCTTCAGCTGGTTATCATTGTTCAAAAGAAAGAGTTCCCCTAAAGAAAGAGGTCCTAGAAGGCCTCCAGCTGGTATTGGTTCAATTCTTTTGACATGGCTTAATAAAACGTTATCAGTCTTTGTATAACACACCCATCCTGCCAGTAAAGAAGCCTCACTTGCACAAGTACAGGTTCATGCAAGATCTGAGGGTGACCAATGACATTGTGCAAGACATCCACCCACTATGACCAATCCATACACTGTGTTTACTTCCCTGCCCAGGGACCACAAAAGGCCTGCAGTGTTAGATTTAAAAGACACTTTCTTTGCATACCAGTAGATGCAGAAAATCAATTATTGTTCTCTTTTGAGTTGACAGCTTGCACGATTTCAATATTGTTGGACAGTGCTTCCTCAAGGGTTTAAAAAAATTGGGGGAAGCAGTGGCTTGGGATCTAAGAGACTTGGGAAATGGAATACAGCTATTTCCATTAGTAGTAATGATCTGCTAATCCTCAGCCCCTCGCAGCAAGAGTGCCAAGACAACACTCTTGACAGACTCTAAACCATTTGGCAGCCTGTGGGTACAAAGTCGTGAGCAAAAAGGCATACATATGCAAAGAAACTGTAGAATACTTAAGATTTCTATTACAGATGGGAACCATAGCCCTGGCAGAGGAGAGGTGAAATGCAATTGTCTCTGCCGCCGTGCCCACAGCCAGAAAGTAGCTGAGGGGCTCCCTGAGAATGGCAGGGTTCTACAGAATTTGGATTCTCAATTAGGCACTGACAGTAAAGCTGCTATAGGAATTGTTGAAAGAAGCCAACCACAACCCTTTTGAATGAGAAGTAAAACACCAGACGCATTTGAACAACTAAAGCATAAGTTAACATCTGCCCCAGCTTTGGGACTGACAAATAAACCCTTCCAGCTTAATGTGCGTGACAGACTGGGTGAGCACTTGCGGCCTTCATGCAAAAACCAGGAGAAATATTGCAACCAGTGGTTTATTTTTCAAAACAGCTTGATTCAGTGATAAGGGACTGGCCTCCTTGTCCTCAGGGCGGTACCTGCCATCTGCCTGTTGCTCAAGGAGGCTAAGAGGCCGACTTTAGTTCAGCCCATCATGATTTATGTGCCTCACCAAGTCCCGGGGAGCGGAAGGATGGCTACTTGCTGATGGTGGGCAGATTAAGCCAGTATCAGGCTATCCTGCTCAATTACCTCAAAGTAAACTACAGGCCACTGGGGCCTTAAACCCTGCCACTTCGTTGACATCTACTGGGTAACCGAAGGAACTAGTACACAACCGGCTAGCGGTCATTGGTTGAGAGTCTTACAATCGCCCCGATCTGAAGGACACAGCCCTCCAGGGTGCAGACTGGATGATGGTTGTCGACAGAAGCAGCCTGGTTGCCAACAGAAGGAGGAATGCTGCCCAGGCTATAGTGACTCTCTCAGAGGTAACAGCTGCAAGAACTCTCCCGTCAGGGACTTCTGTGCAAATGGTTGAGTAAATTGCCCTTACCAGAGCCTTGCAACTGTCCCAAGGTAAAAGCACCAACATCTAAACTGATTCCAAATATTCCCTTATGATAGTACATGCACATGGAGCTATTTGGAAAGAGAGGGGACTGTTAAAGGCAGATAATACTGCAGTTAAATACGCAGAGCCACGTTGGAGCTATTGGAGGTGGAGACGACCCCAAGGGAAATAGCTGTTATGCATTGTCCAGGCCGCCAGCACAGTGATTCCAAACCAGCTAGAGGGAACGCTTTCACTGACTGCACAGCCAGGCACCCAGCCAGCAGCAGTGCTGGGTTCCAGGCAGCTTTGAGTCCCCAAGTAGATCTGCCACCTTTCAAATCCGGTATAGTCTTGAGGGTAAAAAGGCTGCCAAGGACAGAAGATTTATTCAAGATAAAAAAAAAGGTTGAAAAGTAAATGATGACGGCCTGGTTTCGGTGCCAGTGCACCTTGTTCACCCAGTGCCACAATATACTCATGATAGCGTGCATTTTGGATGAGAGGCCCCATTAACTTTAATGCAAAAATATGTCAAAGGAAAGGACCTGAAGGCTCACTTGGAAAGTATAACACAACACTGCCACCTTTGTGCTGAAAACAAGCTCAATAGCCATAGCAGAGGACAGCCTGGACGACAGGAGAGAAATTTTGCTTTGGGAAAACAAACTTTCTACATTGACGGGGATATGTCTCAGATATTTGGGGCTCATAATACCTAAAGAAATTAAAAGTAAAAACTAAAACAGATATTTTTGAAGCAATGTTATTATCCACAATAACCTTATTCATAATAACCTTATTCACAATAATCGAAAGGTAAAAACGATGCAAGTGAGAAACAGCAAATGAAAGTGTATACACACATAGTGTGTGCACACAATGGAACATTATTTAGCTTTAAAAAGGAAGGGAGTTCAGATACATGCAATAATATGGTTGAACCTTGAGGACATTTTGCTAACCTAATTAAGCCAGATACAAAAGGACAAATACTGCATGATTCCAACTATGTGAGGTGCCTGGAATAATTAAATGCAGAGACAGGAAGTAGAATGGCAGTTGCCAGAGGATGAAATAAGGGGGACATGGGGACTTGTTGTTTAATGAGTAGAGTTTTAGGTTGGGATAATTAAAATTGTGTTAGATGTATACTGCTGGTGATGCTCGCTCAATAAGGTAAATGGACTTAATGCCAGCAATCTGTATGTTTTAAAATGGTTAAATGATGAATTGTATGTTGTGTATATTTTTTTCCACATTAAAGAAAAGGTTTAGTGACAAATGACAAAGCCAAGCTACATTAAAGATCTACACCCATTTCCTTCTTCCCCAGGCCCTGAGAAGTACAGAGGCACAGTTTTAACCAAGTCCATCAGGGTGTCCAGTTTCAATCACAAGCTGCTGGTATGATCCTCAACAAGCCAGGACTCAAGTGCAAGCCCACCTGCAACCAGGTGAGCCCTTAGCCCACCGGGGCCTTCTCTGACTTCCTGCTCTTCACACGCTTCCTGCTTAATTATGTTTCCATGTTTCGGGGTTGATGTCATCTGTGTAGATGAGAGTTCCTTTCACATAATACAATAGGAAAAATAGGGATAGGGTTAGGTTTAACCTGCTTTTCAGGACGCCTCTCTGTTGAGAACTTTCCTTTTGCTTAATAAATTCTGCTCCACTCATTCTCTGATGTCAGCACCCCTAAATCTACATTTCATCTCAGACATAAAGAAATAAAAACCTGTCTCTTAAAGCTGGTATCTTTTACAGCCTACCATACATCCCATTCTAGGTATAGCCCTTCTATTTGCTCAGTTTACAATTTCTTTCAGGATTTGTGGACATCGTTTTTCATCGTACTCACAGAGAACTCCAGCATTCCTGTTCTTTACATTCTCAACAACTAAAAGTTTCTACTCAAACCTAGATTATACCTCAGGGAACTACTTACATGTTGTAATGAATACAGACAAGGAAGTACTTGTAACTACTTTGTCTGTGAACCTTTAACACATTTTTTCCCCATTTATTTTATTGCATTTTAGGTTTGGGGGTACATGTGAAGAACATGCAAGATTGTTGCATAGGTACACACGTGGCAGTGTGATTTGCTGCCTTCCTCCGCATCACCTGCATCTGGCATCTCTCCCCTTGCTATCTCTCCCCAGCTCCCCACCCCCCACTGTCCCTCCCCTATTTCCCCCCAACTGACCCCAGTGTGTAGTGCTCCCTTCCCTGTGTCTATGTGTTCTCATTGTTCAACACCCGCCTATGAGTGAGAACATGTGGTGTTTAATCTTCACACCATGGAATATTATGCAGCCATCAAAAACGATGAGTTTGTGTCCTTTGTAGGGACATGGATGAACCTGGAAACCATCATCCTTTAACACATTTTATACTAATGAAGCCTCTTCCTGTCTGTTTTGCACTACACAGGAAATTCTCATTTCACATACAAATCTGGGTTTCCTTGCAGGACTTGTGACAGGGGCATGGCTTGCCTGTTCAAACTCCTTCAGGGAAGGGAGCATGCAGATGGGCCGGTGCGCAGGCTGGGGTGAGCACTTTGGGCTCTAGCTCCGTGGTAGTGTCTCGGGGTGATTGCCTGCAACCCCAGTGTTACAAAGCTCTTACAGCGTTTTCATCTGCAGACAGACTGAATGTTAGTCAGCTCCAAGGACCCTCTGCCTTATCTGAAAGGCAGAAGGCTAGTGTGACAGCTTTCTATATGCCAAGCTTTTATTTTCTTTTTTATAATTTCCGTAGTACTATTATGTTGTGAATTTCTTATTTTTTTAGATTTTCTGTTGTTTGTAGTTTATATTTTTCACTAGCAATTTTAGCATATTTAAGACAGCTGTTTAAATGCTTCCCTACTAATTTTAATGCCTGTGATTCTTTAGAAATCATTTCTAGTAATTTATTTTCTTTCTCATGGTGGACTGTGACGTCCTGTTTCTTTGTATGCCTTGTTATTTTATTTAATTGGGCATTTGAAAAAATAAACATCTTTTTTACCGTATACAGATTTGTTCTGTGTCATGACAGTCATCGACTAACATGTGTGGCATGTTCTCAGTCGAGGCATCAGCCCTACATAAAACCTTAAGGCCTCCTCGGTTTGTTTCTGAACATGCACCTTTGTGGACTGCACGTGCCCTTTTACTTTTCCTGAAATAACCAGTGGCTTTTGAATCGCTTGCTATTACAAAGTTCCGCATCCCAGTTCCTCCTCAATGGCTTAGATGGACTACTGCATGCCTCTTTTCCCTATGACATCTGTATGTGTATAGTCACCCTGAATCTCTACTGAGCTGCTCCATAAACACACAAATCAATTTATCACAGCCAATTTTAGATATTTTCTGATGCCTCCATGAGTCATCTGGGAATCTTATAATCCACCATCTTGTTGAAATTGCTCTCTCTGAAAAATTTCAATGTCTTTATAATATTACATTCATGTCAATGTATAACAATTTACCTATTATTCAATTTCTGTTTGTTTCTTGACAAAGCAAATAGAAGCAATCAGGGAACTGCAATTGTGACTACTCCGAGACACTCAATCATGAATCATGCAAATTACAATCATGTTCTAACCTGCTGTTCAAGGGAGAATAAAATAAAAATTATCGCATATGAGGCTTATTCACCTGTTTACATATAATCAGTTACCAGTTTTTCTTTATGAAGAATGTTTAACAATATTAAAAAGTATGTATAATAGTTACCAGGTTTTTGGCTTGTTACTTTTTGGTAGTCTCTCCTAAAACTGGCTGGAAAAGGCAAATAAGGCACTGTTTGCATATTACAAATGATATCCAAAGTCCGAAAGCTGTTAATAAGTCATTCTCCAATAAAGTTTTATCATTTTCCTTTTTTATTTACACCCATATCAGGAGTGCAACTTTACCAGGACTGCACCTGCATCAGGAAGGCATATTTCTCTTACAAGGCTAAGAAGAAAGAAAGAGTAAATTTGCTGATGAAAAAAGTAATGCATTTTTAAAATTTTAACTTTAAGTTTTGTTTTGTTTTTTCCCATTTATTTATTTTATTGCATTTTAGGTTTTGGGGTACATGTGAAGAACATGCAAGATTGTTGCATAGGTACACACGTGGCAGTGTGATTTGCTGCCTTCCTCCCCATCACCTACATCTGGCATCTCTCCCCTTGCTATCTCTCCCCAGCTCCCCACCCCCCACCGTCCCTCCCCTATTTCCCCCCAACTGACCCCAGTGTGTAGTGCTCCCCTCCCTGTGTCCATGTGTTCTCATGGTTCAACACCCGCCTATGAGTGAGAACATGCGGTGTTTGATCTTCTGCTCTTCTGTCAGTTTGCTGAGAATGATGGTTTCCAGGTTCATCCATGTCTCTACAAAGGACACAAACTCATCATTTTTGATGGCTGCATAATATTCCATGGTGTATATGTGCCACATTTTCCCTGTCCAGTCTATCATCGATGGGCATTTGGGTTGGTTCCAGGTCTTTGCTATTGTAAACAGTGCTGCAATGAACATTCATGTGCACGGGTCCTTATAGTAGAATGATTTATAATCCCTTGGATATATACCCAGTAATAGGATTGCTGGGTCAAATGGAATTTCTATTTCTAGGCCCTTGAGGAATCGCCACACTGTCTTCCACAATGGTTGAACTAATTTACACTCCCACCAACAGTGTAAAAGCATTCCTATTTCTCCACATCCTCTCCAGCATCTGTTGTCTCCAGATTTTTTAATAATCACCATTCTAACTGGCGTGAGATGGCATCTCAATGTAGTTTTGATTTGCATTTCTCTGATGACCAGTGATGATGAGCATTTTTTCATATGTTTGTTGGCCTCATGTATGTCAAACTAACTTTAAGTTTTTACTGAGGGCAAAAGTTTAAAGAAATGCTCAGCGGTCATTCCTTTAAACTGTGGCTGTGAGAGAGAGAACAATGAAAATTAGTCATTTCAAATGCTGCAAGACACAGAAGGAATATTATTTGACATACATTGTCAAAATATGATGGAGGAAGTCAGTGCGTTCTGTGCAACATCATAGGAGAGGAATCACAGGAGCTTCCACTGTATTCCTTCATAGTTCCTTCCTTCTGCCTAGTTCCCCATGTTAATTTCACTATACTAAAGATAATTAAGATTATATCTTTAATTATAGGTTGAGTCCTGTGTTATGGTACAAACAAAAAAGGCTTTGTAGCTGGAGGTTTCAATAGTCTTATGTAAGGTCACAATTTGTTCTACAAATCTCTTTGAATAATTTATGTCATATATAGAGATTTGGAATAGCAAAAGTCCTTCAGAGAGAAATTAATGAGTGTATCATGACCATATAATAATTTACTTATGAATTTTCTTAGATAAGAAACGGTTGAACTGGATTCAATTTTTATCACAGCCCGTGAAAAACTTCCTCTGTACCCCGTCTCACATGCCATTGGTTAACCAGCAGACAGTGTGTCCAAGGGCGTTGCCAGCTCATTGCTCTAATAGCCTGTGAGGGAGGGTAGGAGGGAGGAAGAAACATTTGCCAGCCAGGCCAGTGACAGAAATGGATTCGAAACATCGGTGTATGAAGCTGAATGATGGTCACTTCATGCCTGTCCTGGGATTTGGCACCTATGCACCTGCTGAGGTAACAATCATGTTTTTAGGCTTGAGAATTCAAAGGAGAAAAGCTAGAATAAGTGGAAGTTGACCGGGTTTGTGTTGTCAGGTTTGTGTTCCTACATTGCTCTGCATAAATCCCCTGGTCTGTGTCCCTAGGTTAGAGTGGTACTTTATGCACAAAGAGAAAATGTCAGTGTTTGTTCTGCTTTGCACTCTGGCCACAGGATCGTCTACTGCTTATCTGAGGCACTGTTTTGTCTTCTGTTTATGTTTATTTCACAGCTTGTCGGAGTCTGTAAAACACAGCAGGAAAAACACTGCCTGCCTGCTGCCTCTCTTGAAGATTGATTGCATGCAATGGGAGTGGTTTCTCTGTTTCTTTGTATAGTCAAACAGATAGTCACTTCTTCTAAGACATAATTCAGAGGAATCTCTATGGCAAAAGTTAGTGGAGATGGGGTGCATGAAGTCTGTGGGGAGGGTATCACGGTTCTGATGGGCCTTGAGCACCACACAGTAATACTGGACCTGGACTAACGAGAGTCTCCCATGTGCTACTCTCAGCCCTGGGAAAATTACCTGAAAGGATGAAATATCCTGTTTTTAAGAAAAAAAAAACTAGAACCTAACAAGAAAAGTTTAAATTCTTTGTCTTTGTTAATGTGGGTCACATTTGTATCAAAATACTGTAACAGAGAATTTTCTGGTTTCTCTGACAAGAAAATTAATGGAATGGATTTTATTTTCTAGACTTAGCTATTTCTACACTGGAAGAAAACTTGTATCTCAAGACTGTCTTGAGAATACAATATGTGTGAATACGGACTAGTTACATAAAATTTGAGTCTCACATTTCTTATCTATAAGATATAAGGATTTACAAAGGGACACTTTGAAGACCACTAACAGGAGTAGCTTATGTTGTAATATATGTTGTCATGGAGAGGAAGTAAAGATGAGGACACCCCTGAGGCTGCAGCCCTGGTAAGCCTTTGAGTGCTCCCACAGCAGAGAAAAGATCAAGGATAGTATGAGAAGAGGGCTGTGAGACCACTACCTAGTTCCTTGTAATTTCGTGGAAAAAAGAAAGCCTCTGAAATACTTTTCAGATGAGAAAATACTTTATTTTGTTTCTGTTTTTGTCATTTAAAAGATACACTTTCAAATCAGTATTTAAATTTTTACAAAAGTCAGAAACTGTAAATTTCACTGCCATCATATTTTTCCTAAAACAGTTGTCTTTCATTTATGCAGCTGAAACCCATTTTGCTACTATCTGACTTCTTGCAGTCGCTTGCTTATACATACCGATCAACATCCTTAGAGCACACATCATTCCTCCTACTATTTAGTTCTGTCATGCAGACATAATGGCTAATGGCTGTGTAGAAAAGACTTAATAGACTGCTATCCATAGATGTGCCTATTTCCAATATCAATCTGGCTGGTATCTGAGAAGGTGGATTTCTCACTATTTCCTAACTGATAAGGATCGTGGCTGTAAGTAACTGCTTGTGCGAACTGCGGGGTTTCTGTGCACCTGCTTTCCTTTGGGAGACTGGAAGTTTTGTGTCTGCTAGGCAGAGTGAATCAATTCAACCAGTCCCAGTCAAAATCTTAGGAATGGAGTATGCAGACAGCATCTCTTGTAGACAACATTTCACATACATTGTCAAAATGTGGTGATGGAGGAAGTCAGGGTGTTCTGTGCAACATCACAGGAGAGGAATCACAGGAGCTTCCACTGTATTCTTTCATAGTTCCTTTCTTCTGCCTATTTCCCCATGTTTATTTCGGTATACTAAAAATAATTAAGATTATATCTTTAATTATAGGTTGAGTCCTGTTAATTTTTCCAAAAAATCACTGAACCTAAAAGTGTTTTGGGGAGACCTCCATCCAAGCCATTGGTCAACCAGTGATTTTTCTGGGACTTCAGAAGTTCCTGCTATGCTTAATCCTGATTCCTAACCGGGAAAGACACAGGCAGACTGCAACAGGCTTATGATACAGAACACATCCAAGAAAGAAGGAAAAGCTGATTTTTGTAACTGTCACTGCTTGTGCCTGAACTAACTCTCAGGCACATGAGTCAGAAAATACTACCTTTGATTGCTCCCCCAGGTTCCTAAAAATAAAGCTGTAGAGGCCACCAAATGGGCAATAGAAGCTGGATTCCGCCACATTGATTCTGCACATTGTTACAATAATGAGGAGCATGTTGGACTGGCCATCCGAAACAAGATTGCAGATGGCAGTGTGAAGAGAGATGACATATTCTACACTTCAAAGGTACTGTGCCTATGATAAGCATGTATGCAGATGTATTTATTGTGATTGTGTGGAGGTGGCAATTCTATGAATGGATCCATAGTTGTGGGTGAATTGTGTTTATTCATTTCAATTTATTCACAAATATTCATGTATTAAAACTAAAATCAAAGGCAGGAAATGAAGATGACTTTCTCATCTTTGCATTGCTCAAATTTATGACTTCAGGTCCCTTTACTTTCTTGAATTCAGCACAGATCAATATAGTTTAACATAGGCTATAGAATCACAGAAAACATTAATCATATTATGGTATTTCTTACCTCTTGGGTAAATTTCTTACATTTGTTATGATTCTAAGTTTCCATTATCATCTGGATTAGAGAGAGAGAGAAAGAAATATATGTGAGCTCTGTGAGTATTAAATAATGATATCTACATTGTTTTAAACTGTGTCCAGCCCAAGTTAGCATATTAAAAACTGTGTTCGCCTCCTCAGTTGCTAAACCCCAAAGATGCTTATTCTTGCCCATTGGGCTGAATGGATGAAAGAATTTAACTAGTAAAATGAGTTGTAAAACATACCAAAAATAATTCAGATGAGGGATATGCTTGTTATTTGATAACAACTTTGACCTTTTGAGTATTTCATTCTGTCGTTCAATATATGTAATAGCTATATACTCAACATAAATAAAATTCATTAGGATACGACAGAACAAAATATTCACAAATATTCATGTGTTAAAACCAAAATCGAAGGTAGGAAACGAAGATGACTTTCTCATCTTTGCAGCATTCAAAGGGTATAACAAGAAGAAACAGAATAATTTGGCCTGTGGTCATCAGTTTTGAAGTAGTGGAAAATGTCTAAATATTAGGTGGAGCAAAC